ACAACATTTATATGTTTATGACTGTCCAAAAATATGTTCATTTTGTATAATATTCAATAGCAGTCAGAGACTTGTAGCGAGGCGTTTGGCCATTATAATGATGTATGATTTTTAGCCTTGATTTATTACATAACTCAATATAACTCGGGCTCGTTGATTATAAAACATTAAATTTTTCACACATATTTTCACATATATTTATCATGTTTTGTACAGAATCACTAGTATGCAGCATCTGTCGGAGTCTGTGTGTGTGGCACTGTGTCACAAAGTGGGGACCTCACAGGAGGTGATCATGAAGAGAGAACTGAAAGATTTCAGGGACATTATGACAAATCAAGTCACACAAGCAAGAGAAGCCAACAGGGTAATGACAAGTGGGAGCTACAGAGAAGGATTCAGGCTAGAGGGGTCAGATGTGGACATGTTTTGGCAAATGACCACATCGTTATATGGGACTTAGATCAGGCTCAGAATTATGACTTAAGTAGAAAAACACTGATTCTCTGTGATTGTTCTGATAGCCTACCAGGGTTTGCTTTACTTGAACTACTGACACCAACACACAGTGAAATTGTGCAGAATGTATGTATCAGAATAAGCGACAAAATCTATATATCAAGTACATATTTTCCAAATACAGACGGATATAATGTTTAGGTAGAATGCACAAACATGGTCCGTGTGGTAGTGCTTTCTTCGGGGAACAAAAAAATGACTTAGCCCAATGTTTTGTCTGTGATTTTTGGCCTCCTCCTTCCTCCAATTATCTTAAATTCTTCTTAAAAGATATTGTTAATCATGGATTAAGTGATGAGCATAAATCATTGTGTTCCTATCACATGAAGACAGCAGTTTTCTGGATGATTCAACATAACACAATACCTCACTGGTGTCCACAAAATCTTCTGGGGTGTTTCTGGGTCTGTTTTAAACTCATTCTCATATGGGTGTATGAGGGGGTCTGTCCAAACTTCTTTATCCCAGAAAACAACATGTTTCTGGGTAAAATCCATGGTAAAGCACAAAAAAGATTGTTTCTTTGGCTTTATGAATTGTATGAGAGGGGTATAGCATTGGTGTTTCATTTTTCATCTATCAGGTCTTGTATTTATTGTATCCTTCAAACTTCCAGACAATCTTTTAGTTTATATGAGCAAATTATGATCTCCAAACCGGATTCGTTTGAAGTACATCTATTTAGGGAGTTGTTTATGAATACTCTAACAACAAAATCCTTAAATCAATGTATGAGATTCTTCAGTGTTGTAGAAAAGTTGATATGTTTACCCCTGATTCAGTACCAGGTTCTCATGTTACAGAGATGCACAGCCCCTATCCTCCAGAGCACTGCTTTTACGTTATACAACTTTTCAACCGGTTTTGCACCCCTCAAAATAAATACTAGTTCAGTTTTAAACAAGCAGGTGTTTAAAGCTAACAAAACATCCAGTTATATGCTGAAAATAGCATCCAAGTTTGGGGGTATTTCTGATATGTTGTACATTGCAATGTTTTACTATAAGACACTTAGATTCAAGGAAGCTATATCAGTTATAGAGATGACGAGGGTCAAGTTAGCACAGCCATATGTAATGAATATATTGGATAAATCTTTAAATTCTGGAGGGTGCAATTTTAGTGAATCCATAAGGGGGAAATCCTGGTCTACAAAGATGAGACATGTAATGTGGGATTTTGTTCTTAACACTGAAACCTGTTTTATAAATGAATTAGTGCCAGAACAACAGTCTGTCATACAGTCTGGATTCCCTGTATTAGAAATCCCACTCTATGTTCTCTTACACATGTTAGAGGTCTTGTGCTACAGACATGTAGACCCAATGAGAACACATTCAGCTCTTAATGACCTACAGGTACTGGTCCACCATGATCAGAGAAAGTATATAACGAAATACAAAAGAGATATATCCTGGCAGATTCTAGGAATCTGTCAACAGATGACAGGGAACCATCAAGCTGCTCTGTACTCCTACCAACAGTCTCTAAGACATATCAGTACATCACACAACATACAAACTGCTACAGTCATAAGAATACAGGAAGTCAGGGAACTTATATGCAGGAAACATCATTGAAATAATACACCGGTATAATTCTTTAAAAAATTGTAACAGTGATGTGGAGTAATTAAAAACTTTCTTTGACCAGAGTGAAAAAAAAGAAACTGTCCTCTCCCTCTCCTTTCCCTTCTTGAATTGTTACGTGATTCCATTGAAAAAGGTGAATTATTTTAGGAACATTATATCAATTGTACAGAATTCATTTCTCAGTTTTCTTTTCAGTATAGTGTTTAGATGTTTAGTTCATGATTTTAGATAAAAGATTTTGGTTCCTATGACAACCCAATATGTTCATAAGATGTACATAACTGTAAAGAAATCCTTATGTTTTGTTAATTATGTTTGTTGTTTGTTAAAAGTTTATGAATTTTTATTTCAATAAATCAGGTCATAATATGACTTTCGTTCCTTTTAATTTCACACAAGATATATAGAATATATCAATAAGAAAAAAAACATCGGAAATCCATAATTAGCCCCTTCACTGTAACTGCGGTACTACACTTTTGCAGGGCAAAATAATATCGTTTAGCGAAGTTTTTGTTGAGAGATAATTAAATGACGTATATTTAACAATTACTTTTACGTCATATTTCACCAAACTATATTATTTGGCCCTGCAAAAGAGCAGTACCGCAGTTACCGTGAAACGGTCTATGATTCGACAAAGCACTGGTATGATCAGATTAATTGAATACTTTTAATGTGAGGCTGGCTTTACATTTGGTTCTTATTGCAGAATTTCTCTCATGTACTAACACCCACCAATTATCATCCTACTCTTCTAGAATAATCCAAGTGTTCAATGGGAAGTTTGACAATATTGGATGAAACTGATGAATTTTCCGAAATAAATGATACGACATGTAGTTCTACAATGATTCTAAATGTTTTTAACTCATAAATTTTCTCTCGTTATTCAAACAGGCTTAAGACTTAAGTCCACAATTTGACTGTGAATATCTTGAGGATTATTTAACATATGTGAAAGATAAAGAATTGTATGATATTCAAATTCAAAGTATCAAAGTTCTCACCAAGTGTTTAAGATAAGTAAGTTGTCAATATATATTAACTTATTGATAACTGCTGTTGTGGTCAATAACTTTTAAAGGTTCATAGACACAGATTTGAAGTTAATACTTTCTGTATAATATCACGACTTATATATATTGAAATAACATTTCAAAATTGCCACTTTTCCTAAGTATTAAGAGTAAAATTCAAATTTGTGAAAGTGCAAGCATTTTTCAATCAAACCCATCCAATAATTTAGTTTCAATAACTTTTAGATGAAATAAGATTTTTAATATATTTTCCTGTGAAATGGTAAATTACAGAATATACGTGTCGTGATATTAAACAGAAAATATAAACTTCAAATCTGTGTCTATGCATCTTTAAAATATAATACAATTCACATCATTTTTTCAAGTTGCAAAAATCAAATATGTATACTGCAATATGGTTGAAAATTCGAAACAGGTAATTATAACACGTGACGATGATTTTGTTTAATGTCAAATACTAAAAAGTGTTCTTAGCAAACTGCATATTTTATTTTTTCAAGAACGAAAAAGGGAAAACCTGAAATAAAGTATTGTTTGAAATCGGATTATTCAAAAAAGGAAGTTTCCATATTAAAGGGATGAATTGTACAGGAGTAGAATAATTATTGCACAATTTTATTAAGTGGTCGTGACAATTCTATTTCATGAATAACCAAAAATATGTATATATTACTATTAATACGAGATTCCTCTGACTCTCACCCCTGATTTTATATTCTTCTGCACAAGTCACAATATAAAAGCATGGGTTAGAGTCAGAGGAATCTCGGATAATATTACTTTATTCTAAAACAATCTTCTAGGGAAACGTATTTCCTTGTGCAAGAGACGCAATGTGTTTTTTGAGTGATCATTCATATGTGCATGTGTCTTCGCACACAGGTGACAATATTTCGCCTTCCAGACAGATGTATGGTCAGTAACTTCTCCTCATTGATGAATGGACCAGGAATCAATATTTTAAAAAGGAAAACATAGATTATGATCTTCAGTTGAAACCCCTTTGGTGCCAAACTTTTACACCCCGTTAGGCACACCAGAATTTGGCCACAAAAGTTAATATTTCTTAAAGAAAGTCAGGTTTGCTACAAATAAACAATGTCTTTAAATGATATAAATTAGCCTTTATCCTTCATCTTTAAGTGGGATTTAATCATCAGTTTCTTACTATTAAAAAGCACAGAATAGCAACAAAATTACAAGTTTATTTACCCCAGTCTTCTGAACTGCCCAGAGGCGTCAGCAAATTCCGTTACGCGCTTTCAAACAGACTACTGCACTAAATAGGGAGTTAATACATTAGTACAACCCGTGCGCATTTAGTTTGTCCCCTAAAAATTCATTAGCAAAGAATCTTAAGGTAAATATTCTTTTCTCATGCGAAAAACCTCCGCTTTGGAAACCCGCGTCCCTTTACTTGGTGAAAGAGGCAAGGAATAAAGTTTTTAGGAGGGATAAATGACAAGCTAAAAGATGAAAATGAAATGAGCTGCTGAACTTGAATTACAAGTCATGAGCAAACCTCATAAATTTGAAGACATTAGAAAGTTATTTAAAGGTATATAAAAAAAACTCAAACCCGAATAATCTACCAATACCTCTTCTTAATTGACTAATACAAACGTTTTTTTAACTCTTTATTTGATAGCGCAAATACAATTTTAATGAATCATGGTTCTTTAAAGAAAACATTCCATTCCATTCATTTGCTTTACAAAAATTACGTGACCATTAAATATTCTCTTCCCTAAAAAAGTTTCAAACAACATATTAGATTTATCGGTACTACGTGTATTTATAAAAACATATTTTCCCGCTTCTTCATTAAAGACTTCTTTATCACACAATTTCACGGCCCTCTGGTGGTCTGTAATAAATACTTCGTCTCCCTACAGCTTAGCCGGGGTCTGAGTGAGCGCTTCCCGGATCTCGTTGACGACTTGTCCCGCACATCCCCAATGTAACGTCACGCCCGAACCCCCGTGTCCGTAGTTATGTACAATCTAAAAATAAAGGAGCGGATCATATACGTCAGATTAAGTGTGTAATATTATTTACAAACCATACTTACCATTTTTCCTGTCGGGAGCCTCAGAGTTTCCAGCCGTACCCCGGAACCTCGGTGTGGACGTAAGCCGACCCAGTGTTGGATTATTTCTGCATCCTACTCAGAGAACAAAATTCAATACAGAACTTTTGCATCATCTTCAGTCGATACTTTTGCACACTATTTTAGCAACAATGAAAATGTTACGGGACTTATGTTGCACACAATCTTTACACCGACTGGTGTTGGGACTCACTCCTTGATTGTGTGTTCGTTTATCGAAATTCTAGTAAATGATACCTTCAGACTAGGCACTAGTTCCAGACACCCCTCCCAAATAGCCTTGCGATCAACGTCATCAATTTTTGTGTTCCAGTCGCCAGTCTGACCAGTTCCACCAAGTACGACAGCATCGGCTCTAGATAATCGAATACACCAAAACAATGGATAATTAAACAAAGCATAAATAATGGATAATCGAACACACCAGTGTGACAATGTTAAATTGAACACATCATAAACAATGGAAAGCACTACCTAATCCGATTCATTGAATGTGTAAATAAAATGTTACTGGGATGTATTCATTATGTTTCAAACAAAATACTGAACTGTAAAAGTATCAAACTTTATACCCAGGTAAAATGTATTTTTCACAATGTGCATTCGTTCCTTCGTACGTCATAAAATGTTTCACCCACGGGGCTTTCACCTGAAAATAAAAAAAGTATACATTATGTCTACTTATCATATACTTAGTAGTAAATACACCGATTCTGCACGGTGTGATACGGGTAACGTCACAATACCCCATATCACGGACCGGTCCGAAAAGCCATATCACGTATCGGACCGTCGGGCCGAAAAGCCATATCAAACCGGAAGTAACGTTTATATAAGGTTTAAAAGTGAATTTACTTTATTTTATTTGAATATTCATATAAAATAATTCTTTAATGACATTTGTGGTCTTAATTTTTTTTCCAGTTACCTAAAATTGGCTCTATCAAATTTTAAAGAAAAATGTCACTAACAAGCAAAAACATTCTTCAACGACCATATGTGATCTCGCATATTAAGTATTTTAAATATATGATAAATAGAATACTACATACTAAAATTCATATCATATGTCACATCAGCCCTCGGGCCCCATATCAGCCCTCGGGCCTTCGGCCCTCGGGCTGATAATGGGCCACTCGGGCTGATATGACATATGATATGGATTTTAGTATGTAATATTCTCTATTTTACACACATCTGATCACAACACAAAATAGAACACATAAGTAAATCATTATTATGTCATTACCCTGGTGACTTGGCCTCGGATCGGAATGACGTCATTATCTTTGACAAGTGTCCTTGACCCAATCCCTGAAGCGTTCACTACCACGTCATAATCTGACAGGAGCTACACAAGATCTTTTTTGCATTAATTAAATACAGTTACGGGTCTTTCGATAGAAGAGAAAAATATTTATATCCATGTACGCACCTTATCCAAACTGTCCACTCGTCTATGTATGAACTTTCCATTGCTATTCTTGAATCTAGAAATAAAACATAAATCAAATGCATAACATATTGTCTAATACAAATTATGACTCGATCAAAATATCTTGAACAAATATTAATCGACCATATATTTTGTACCCAACTGATTATATATAAGGTTTCTAACGAATCTCCCGTTGTCATACTGACCTTGACATCAGCCAAGACAGATAGGCCTTGACATTGATCATCACCGTGGTGTAAAACACGCCAAATCTACAACAGAGAGACAGCTACAACCTATTAGTAAGCAGGGTATCTGACCAATCCCAGGACAGAAAATCCGACCAATCAAAGACATGTGTGATATAGGTAGGAACACAGCCGGTTGGTATCCAGTCAAAGTGCAACATGTTACATCACGTAGACGATATACGGTAAAAATTGAATGCACATAAAACTGCAAACTCAAGATCATGAGTTAGGTTTTACCTGGCCTTGGGGAAAAGAAGTTTAAGTTCTTTGTTGTCCAGTTCGCGGTATCCTAAGACCTGGTGCCGCCATCCTGGACACTATTTCAATAAAGAAAAAAAGGCTAGAAATAGAAAAAGCGTTCTTGTTTTTGTGAAGATACATTTCCTTTGAAAAATAATCAAGTTTCATAACATGGTTAAGACTTTTCTGGTTTACCTGTGTTTCTGCGAAGAAAGAGTAACCCGAGACCATCTGTGCCCCGAGGCGACTGGCCAAAGGCGAGGTTGCAAGATATAACAGGTAATCCCAGGTGTCGCCACCGCATTTTCTACCGTAGGAATCAGGATAGCAATTAAAGCATGCAATATCTGCATGAAACTTTTACATATTGAAGCTGGCACTTTATTTATAACCTAAGAAGATAATTAAATATACATGTAGTTATAAAATGTTGGTAAGATTTTGAAATATTAACGATGGATGAATGAGATTTTTTACGCGACAAATTCCTGATTGTCCCCTCCCACCAGATGTGGCAACCAGAATCCACCTGACCCATCTGAAGTGGTGTTCGGACTGAACCGGTCAGCAATGATGGTGACGTCACATTCCGGCAATTCGTTCTGGATCCGCACCGCGCTGGACACGCCCACCACCCCTGCCCCCACCACGCATACCCGGGTTTGTCATTTTACTAAAAATAGAACCTTCATATTTATTACGTAAACACAAAGACTTTTCAGTTTTTATTTGTATCAATGATTATTTAGTGAATATTATACCGACAGAAATTCTATCCAGGAAAGGGCAAAAATAACAACAGCATTTATTGTTGTAATATTTTATTTCTTATATATTTAATGTTTTAAACTTGTTCATACCACGACATCTCAGCCGTCAAAATTAGGGTTAACTCAGAGAAAGTGCAATTTTCCTAAAATGACTGATACGCACTTAAATAGTGATGCAGGACAAATTACGACAGCACGTTTGAGGTGGTAAATATCCTAAATTATACATATTTTTAATTCAACAAATAATGAATTGTCCAGCACTTTTATAGATATGTGCTTTTAGATATTTCTTATGACAAATGCAGTGAACGATCTAAGATAAAGAAAAAAAGGAACCAAGAACTATTGTAACTTAATTCCAGAGCTAGGTGATTCCAGGCGCCCTTGAGTGCATATCCCCTGCCAAGCGGACATATTTGCTGTGTATTGATCATGTGTAAACGGAATATTCTATGGTCAAATCAAGCATTAGAAACGAAGGCCCAACAATTGATATGGAATATTTCAAACAACTTACAACCCAGATGTTATATTGGCTAACAATGTCAGTATATCATCCATAGAGTTAATATAATGCTGGCTTTAAACAAGGGTTGTTAAAATTCCTGCAACATCGACTTGTTTGACAGTAGTCTACTTTGGTTTAAAAATTAATCGTATAGATCTATGAGAGCTACATATAGCAAGCTCTCGGGTCAGTATTGAATAATATGCAGGTGATAGCGGGATCAGATTGGCACAACTTGATTTTAATCAGGTCGAACTATATGTGATTTAAATTTGTTATAAAAGACACAAGGTGTGCTCCATATGTACAGGCTTTACTTGAACTTTAATTAATGACGACGTACGATCGACACCTAAAGGAACAAACTTTCAGTTAAAGATTAAATATTCATCTAAATGTTTTTCAACAATACATTACATTTCTTTGTGATTAAATTACAGTTTAAACACTACTGACATACCTTTAGATACCATATTAAACAAAGTGGGTCAAGAGATCTTGGTCATCCATTTGTTTATCTACGGCGCTGATACCAAAACAAGTCCCACGGAGAAAATAAGTCCCACATGAGTCCTACGTGAGTCCCACAGCAAAAGAGCCAATAATTACATACAATAAAGGGTTATTTTGAAAGAATATTTTATTTATATGACCATATATCAAAAAAAGATTTGATAAAATGTTTTAAGTGTGTTAAATAGACGATTGTAAATTTCAGACCACAGTCAAGAACGATAACTCTGTTCAAATGTAAACAATGACCAAGAACTATACTGAAAATGTTTAATTACTGCTGATAGCTACATGTAACTTTTTTTCTGAAAAAAAAAAAAAAGATATTTGTAAAATATTTTTTTAATAAGGAAGTTAATTTAATATGGTGTTATTTCTGAATTAAATTTGTTCTTCTGTTTTACTTGAATTTTTAAGTTTCGTTTGAAAATATTCTTCCAATTACATTATATACAACTAAAAGTATGTTTTATTTTATTATAATGATTTTATATAATTACTTTGTTTCTTACAAACTAAAATAGTTTTACTGTGTTTTTATGTTATTTGACAACAACTTGGTAACTGACACCAATGTTTATTGTGTATATACACAGACACCTGTGGAGGTACGTCCCTGGTATAACTGTAAACAACACCTTGGGGATGTTATTCACACCTTTCAATCTCCCTGTTGTTTGTATACCTATTACAATAACTTTTGAACAAGGCTGGGGCTAGGTTACACCATTTGGATTTCAAATAAAATATTTAATTAAATGTAGAAATAGAATTATTGAAATTTCAGCTACTATTATGTATGACAAATAAGGTGATTAATCAAATATTTTCCTATTTGATTTTATAAATAAAAACATTCTTTGAAATTTAAATTATAAGAATTATGATTTAGAATAGACTAATTAAGAAAGCATTAACTGTATTGTAAATTCTTGACTTGTATGAAAAGATTCCAAATAATAGTATTAAAGGCACAACCATTGAAGTTTTGTATTAATTTGTAGAACAAATATCATGCAGAGAAGTAGCTGTTACCTATCCATTTTCTTTATTTAAAAAATGTGTTTATTATTCATCATGTAAATTAAGATAAAAATTTAGATTATAATTAACATGTTTATTTTCCACAAGTTCATCATATTCATCAAATATATTTCCAGGATACCTGAATACAAGCCCATGCATCTGAGTACTAATTCTCTAATTAACTGAAAGTTTTTCATAACACAAGTATCTTTAATGGATGAAAACACGGCTATCTCAACTCAGTCAACTGGAATTTTGATTTTTGCAGTTTGATTCCTCATTTCACTTAATTGTTATTACAAAAGTGATAAACTAGTATTTCAATGATATTTTAATTTATTAAAATTACATTAAACTTTTATAATACTCTGTATTTTATAAAATACAGAGTATTATAAAAGTTTAATTTAATCTAGATAAATTAAAATATTATTAAAATACTAGTTTATCACTTTTGTCCGATATAAATCACTTCCAATTTCATCCAATTGTTATGAATGAGTAAAGTAGTTCACTTTCTATATCTTTAAAACAATACTTTTAGCTTTGTAGGTCTATATAATTTCCTAGGACTGTATAGTCATAATTTTCAAAAGAAAGAATGGCTTTAGATTATTGAGCTAGTAAATTGCACATATCAATTAAAAATCTCTTTCTCATATGCTTGATAAATACAAGACCAGCATTGTAAAAATTCATTGAATTTCCCAAGTTTTGATATTATAAAATTGTTAAATTTATAAAAAAAAAAAAATTGATTGAAAATGTCTGTTTTTGGTAGTAGTTTTTTTTAGTCGTTAGAACTGCTACAGAAGGCACATAAACCAAGTAACATTGTGAAAGTTTCATAAAATCTTTAAAATTAGAATTTGGATGGCTTGTTACTTCGATACTTGAGGCAGATGTAAGAGTTATTGCTCTTAGATTATACACAATCTTTAGAAAACATCTTAGAACTTCCTGACTTTCTAAAATATAATTAATTTAATAATAAAATTATAATATCTATTAATATTTGTTTTCAAAAACTACTAAAATATTAAGTGTTATCATTATTGTTGGGATTAGGAAACACTATAGTTATATGAGGATATAGGAGTTATCGTTCTTTGTTTTTTTAACTAATTATTGTAACCGGCTTCTAAAACATTTTTGTGACAAAATTTTATTCAAAATATATCTAAACAATGATAATCTATAAAGATATGTTGTTAAATATTAATAAAATATCATATTTACTGGTGGGACTCATTATTTTTCTGTGGGACTCATGTGGGACTTATTTTCCCCGTGGGACTTGTTTTAGTATGTCCCATCTACGGTGAGGTCTGGGGGTTTTAAAATTGAAATTCTCTAAAGAAAGTATTTACCACTCGATGCTATCTCATTTTTATAATGAATATATTCTTATCAATAAAAAAGATCGATGGATCTAAGAATGAATTATCTAAGAGAATCTTAGTGTCTAGTTTTTTTTTTTTTGAGCGAACAAATCTCATGATAAATGTTAAATACAAACTTCATGAATGTTGTGATGTACTAAACATGCAAAAAAGGAAAGCGTTTCTTTCTTCCTTTTAATGTTCTGTTTACCTCTTGAACTTATTATGATATTTTACTTCTCTTGTTATCTAATTAAATAAGTGAGTCATTTTTGTACTTCAAAGAAATGAGCAATCTTTAGAGAAAAAAATAGAGTTTTTCTTGGAACAACTTATCTAAATTTGATAGATGGCGCAATTGTACTTCCTGTAAATTGAGACTAAGAATGGCTTTTGTATAATAATGAATAAGAAGTGGTATATCAATATCTTAATAATTTTTGCCCATATATCCTTCTTATCTTCTGGTAAGTAACAAATTTGATAGTTTATTTAATCTGAATATCGGATGGGTCGGTTTGCCAAGGAACTGACACCAGACGAAAGTTCTCCGAGATCGAGATTGTGAACCGATGGTTTTCCTTCGTACGAATAATTTAAGTGTGTATGGGAACAAACCTTCACCGCAGTTAGAATACTTCCCATACACTTTCAGTGAGCAAATCGGAGCATACCCGCTCCGAAATGATTTTAAAGAATTCGAAATGGGTTAAGCTGAAAATACTACAAAATTCATAAAAACAAATCTTTCTGAGGTTGTTTACACATGGTTTATGCCTTTTCTCCCAAAAAATAATACATAATATGGGGCACATAATATGTGTTACGGTGTGACAGTTGGGGCGAACGCAATTAGTTGCAACTTCAAAAATATACTTGAAACGTTGATCCGCCACTTCAAATGTCAAATCGCACAAGACATCTAGACTGTGACATCACACGAGAGCTCGTCAGGGTTTATGGAAACAGCAGAGTGTCTAGTTAAAACTATAGACCTAAGGCAACAGGGTTCGACATTAACGTTAGTCCGTAAGTCTAAGACTAATAATTTTTCATTCGGACTAATAAAAGTTGTGGTTAATTAGTCCTAATGGACTAAAAAAGTTTTTTGGGAGAAAAAAAATTACCGATGTTCTCGACAACTTTCACTGGAAAACCCCATATGTATTTTTAAATTAGCTTTCTAACTTCTTGGCGGAAAGTTATTTAATTCTGAGTCAATTTGGCGTGTAATTTTAGGACTCATTTGTATGAAATTAAACATTTTAGCGATCATGATTTAGTATCACATATGATAAAGAAAGATGTTCGACATTTGGATGATGTAATGATCGTAGTTCCTGATCGTGCAATTTCAACGAATCATGGTGTAAAATATTTCATGTAAATGCTTTGTTTATTTTATAAAAGTATAAAAAGTACATTGCAATGTTAATTTTATTTATTTATATTTTTGACGGACTCATAAAATTGTCCGCAGACTGATAAAAGTAAAGAACCACTAGTCCCGCTGGACCAACGCCTAAAAATGTTAGTGTCAAACCCTGGGCAATTTTTGTCGAAAGACCTATGTACAGATTTCATTCAGAATTTCCTCTGTTCTCACACTTTAGTCTATTGAGCTCGCTATAAAGATGAAAATTTAACATTTTCCCCAGGGTTTTCGTTTATCCCTTGAAATTTACATGCCATGTTTAGAACTCTCAGGATTGTCTGTTGCTAATGCAATGAGTTAGAGTTTTCAGCCATTTTTAGCTCACCTCAACGAAGTTGGGGGGAGGTTATGTGATACCCTCGGCGTCGGCGTCGGTGTCGGTGTCGGCGTCCCAGGTTAAGGTTAAGTTTTTTGGAGCAGTTTTCTTTTTAATTACTTCTGTGTCCTATACTGATTAGACATGCATGGAAGATGGTTTTAGTGTGTTTTATTGTACCAGACAAAGTTTCAGATGCTGCAATTTCAGCAAAGGAATTACCAGGTTAATGTTTTTGGAGCAGGTTAACATTTTTGGTGCAGTTTTTGGTGTGGGTTTCATTTCCAATTAACTATAAGCCCTATGTTGCACTCTTGCATTGATGATACATCTACGGCTGCATACTACCGGGCTTGCTTCGGATGATGAATCTGACCTACATTTTCCGGTTGAGTGAACAGGTTATAGTTTTTGGTGTAGGTTTCATTTCCAAGTAACTATTAGCCCTATGTTGACCAAACTTGCATGGATGATACATCTAAGGATGCATACTACCGGGCTTGCTTCGGATGATGAATCTGACCTACCGGGTACATTTTCCGGTTGAGTGAACAGGTTAAAGTTTTTGGTGCAAGTTTCATTTCCAAGTAACTATAAGCCCTATGTTGACCAAACTTGCATGGATGATACATCTAAGGATGCATACTACCGGGCTTGCTTCGGATGCTGAATCTGACCTACATTTTCCGGTTGAGTGAACAGGTTAAAGTTTTTGGTGCAGGTTTCATTTCCAAGTACCTATAAGCCCTATGTTGACCAAACTTGCATGGATGATACATCTAAGGATGCATACTACCGGGCTTGCTTCGGATGCTGAATCTGACCTACATTTTCCGGTTGAGTGAACAGGTTAAAGTTTTTGGTGCAGGTTTCATTTCCAAGTAACTATAAGCCCTATGTTGACCAAACTTGCATGGATGATACATCTAAGGATGCATACTACCGGGCTTGCTTCGGATGCTGAATCTGACCTACATTTTCCAGTTGAGTGATTAGGTTAAAGTTTTTGGTGCAGGTTTCATTTCCAAGTAACTATAAGCCCTATGTTGACCAAACTTGCATGGATGATACATCTAAGGATGCATACTACCGGGCTTGCTTCGGATGCTGCATCTGACCTACATTTTCCGGTTGAGTGAACAGGTTAAAGTTTTTGGTGCAAGTTTCATTTCCAAGTAACTATAAGCCCTATGTTGACCAAACTTGCATGGATGATACATCTAAGGATGCATACTACCGGGCTTGCTTTGGATGCTGAATCTGACCTACATTTTCCGGTTGAGTGAACAGGTTAAAGTTTTTGGTGTAGGTTTCATTTCCAAGTAACTATAAGCCCTATGTTGACCAAACTTGCATGGATGATACATCTAAGGATGCATACTACCGGGCTTGCTTCGGATGCTGAATCTGACCTACATTTTCCGGTTGAGTGAACAGGTTAAAGTTTTTGGTGCAGGTTTCATTTCCAAGTAACTATAAGCCCTATGTTGACCAAACTTGCATGGATGATACATCTAAGGATGCATACTACCGGGCTTGCTTCGGATGCTGAATCTGACCTACATTTTCCGGTTGAGTGATTAGGTTAAAGTTTTTGGTGCAGGTTTCATTTCCAAGTAACTATAAGCCCTATGTTGACCAAACTTGCATGGATGATACATCTAAGGATGCATACTACCGGGCTTGCTTCGGATGCTGAATCTGACCTACATTTTCCGGTTGAGTGAACAGGTTAAAGTTTTTGGTGCAGGTTTCATTTCCAAGTAACTATAAGCCCTATGTTGACCAAACTTGCATGGATGATACATCTAAGGATGCACACTACCAGGCTTGCTTCGGATGCTGAATCTGACCTACATTTTCCGGTTGAGTGAATAGTTAAAAGTTTTTGGTGCAGGTTTCATTTCCAAGGAACTATGAGTTCTTTAATGACCAGTCTTGCATAGATGATACATCTAAGGATGCATACTTCCAGGCTTGCTTCGGATGCTGAATCTGACCTACTTTTTGTGGATGAGTGAAAATGTTAGTTTTGATGCATGTTTCATTTCCAATAAACTATGAGCCTTATAATGAGCAAACTTGCATGGATGATACATCTAACAGTCAGGGGCATCATGGAATCAAGTTATTTTTTAAAATATCTTGTTTAGGTTACTTCACTGCTATATGACTATACAAAGAAGTAACTCATTTGAGTTAACTCTTAAAAAGTAGAATGCCTATCAGTTTTGCTAAAAAACATCAATATGTTGAGTTTTCTGCTGATTAAAGATGATGTAAGGCTGAGAAAGTTGTAAATATATGTACTTCTTTTAATAAACTCAACAGACTTAATATCTCCTGAGAAGATACAATGATATGTATAAAATATCATGATTTTTTTAAAAGGAAAAATGATTCCATTTCATAAACATTTCAGGGGTCAATTACACATCTTCCGCCAATTTTGCCAACACTGAGACTAATTTTCTAATAATCTTTGGACATTGCTCACCAATCTCTCAGTCTTGCATTTTTTGTGCAAAGCTGTATATTTTTGTGCAAGAGCTCTAAAATGAGGTGGGTTAAGGATGAAATAACAGAAATAAGTTATGATTTGTGCAATTTCAATGTGCTAGATTGTAAAGATAGATTACTTTTCCTCTCATGAACCATCTACCAGTACTTAATAATCCAAGCACAGCATGACTAAAGCCTTTCAGATGCCAGTAGCTTCACAATAATGAGTAGTAAAGTATCAATAACTGGAATAAGTTACTGAAGAAAAGCATAATCAGGGAAAGATAACCCAAAATGTTGACATTTCATAACTTAAACAAATCATTTAAAAAATAACTTGTTTCCATGATGCCCTTGACTGTCTAAGGATGCACACTAATGGACTTGCTTCGGATGCTGTATTCGACATATATATTTTTCAGATAATAGACTAGGTTAAAGTTATGGTTGCAGGTCTATTACCAAAAACAATAAGGCTTATATAACATTGTATAAAACAAACTTGCACAAATGCTGCATCAAGAGATGAAAACTCTCAAATTTGCTTCAGATGCTGGATTTTCATTACATTTTCACGAAGAAGAATAGTTTAAATTTTTTATGTAGGTCTATTTCAAAGTATCAGATCAAAATTGCTTTTAAAAATATTTTCATTCTTGGAATGTATACTTTTTGTTGGTTAATTGTGTGACTTTGCCTTACTTAAAGACAACATTCGTTGAGGTGAGCTCTGTAATCTCTGATTACCTATGTTTTCCCTTGCTAAATTTCCAAAACATCAAATGAATTCTATCGTTATTCTATCAGTAGGACAATATCATTTTAATGATAGAATGTTCCATCAGGTATCCCCAAGCTCTAAAGTACCATCACCTTATGCATGTTAAGCTGAGAAAAGCTATCTGAAATATTGTAAATGTTTTTCCATCGCTACACTTACAAATGACCAAACCTCATTCAAACATATTTTTAACACCAATTTATAGCAATTAGCATGATTAGCCAAAAAAAAAAAACCAAAGTTATCTTGCTTAAATCATACCAAGGCGGGCATTCAAAAAGATATGAAATAGACAGCACTTGATACAATCATGATCATGATGATTACTGCTTAGTACTTTACTGTACTTATACTTGGTCATTATATGTAGGAGAATTTTTTTATGAATCTTAGTTATTATACCCGCACTTTCTAAAGAAAGTTCGGGTATATT